CGACAACGGGTAGTGAATGGCCGCGTGGTTGGGCAGTCAGCTGACGTAGTACGGAATGGGGCAGGCTATGGTCCGCATTCCGTCACGCTACACGCGGTGCCAGCTGGCGCCTCTATCCAGCACGTGGCCATTCAGCCTCACGCATGCGCGCCGACGCCACGTATTACCCTAATCGCGCGCGGAGACTTTGAACGGTTGAAACTCGTGAATGAATCGACGTGTAGAGACGTGAAACAAAAAGAAATCGTCATGCATACTAGGCTAATATTTCATTTGTCGAACGACGAGTATTGTCGGAATTGCTGATTGGCTGTCGGAATCGAGTATTTAAAAAATTTCTAATCCTTTCTTCGGGTACTCTAGAAATTTCCTATCAGTCAACCGACGCATCCAAAAATTTCGACAAATATTAGCCTTAGTCCGTGTTACTTTTTGCCGGCGAGTCGTGACAGGACACGGAGAGAATATTATTATTCCTTTTTCACATAAATTTTTTTCAATTTTACTATGTTTTAATAGTCCAGGAATAAAGATTGACAGATCTATCTCGCTAATAGCAAGATAGATTTTTTAATAGCACAATTTCTAAAATATAAATATAGCATATTTCAATTTCTAAAATATAAATATAGCATATTTGAAAACGAAAGGATAGTGAATTATTGCAGAATGTCGATCTATTCTTCGGTTACGAAATCCTATGTGGTAATGTATAAAATTCTTTCCATGTGTAGTGAACTGCCGCGAGCAAAATGCAAACAATACCTTTTCTCATTCGCGACGGAACTTTGTATATAAAGCATGTTTCCGGCTGACATGTGTTATCGTACGAGGATTATTTACGAAAGAAACTGAGCTAAGCGTCTTCAAAACAAACAAACTTTTTCATGAAGCTTTCTTGCTCATTACGAGTTCTGTTAGCCGTTCGAGTCTTTATTCACGACTTCGAGACACTTCGAAGCGCTCTAGATACATGGCAGAGAGAGAGAGAGAGAGAGAGAGAGAGGTAATTTCGAAAAAATACGGAACCGTGTACTCTCCTCGTTCGTTCGTTCGTTCGACATTGTCACACGTGTATGTCGACGCAATTCGACGTGAATGCAATCCACTGCTGCACCGGACGCTCGGATATCGACCGTACACTTTTTACTCGCTATCGCTGTTACTTGCTCGGTCGGAGACCGCCGTGAGTCTCCGATCGTCGAGGAGACGAAGGAGAAGCGACGGAGCGAGACTTTGTTCATACAATCGTCATTCCCATCTCGTCATATAACGAGCGATTCACACTCGCGTCGTCGCGTCGACACGAAGCGTCCGTTCGTTGCCCAGCCGACCCGTTGTAATCTAACTTTCGCATTGACGATACACACACGTATACATGTACACGACACAGGAAAACACAGCCTGCATACGCACACATACACACACACATACACACACACATACACAACATATATACACACACGCATGTGTAAGATATTATCGCATCTCGATCGTGTAACCACAGAATATATTGCACATACGACTTGCACATATTATATACATATTACGAGAGAGTGTGTATATACATTATATATATACATATATAAATGTATATTATATATATATATAGATATATATACACATACGCATGGTCATGGCCGCGAGCCGTTGCTGTCTCGCGATCGATTAACATGATTTCTGACGGAACGTTACGCGTTTGATCCGATATATAATTCGAGTTTCTTGTTTCTTTCTACGATTCGTTCTACGCGCGCACACACATCCACACACATATCCGAGGGACTCGTGAGGTTCTCAAGAGGAGCGCAGAGTGCCGGCCGCGTTTTCTTCGTAGATAATATTTTATAAGTCCTCATTATACATTACGTATATAAATTATATTATTATATGTTACATAAATGATACGTGCATCAATCCCACAACACCTCCATCCAGTTCTGCTTGGTCGCGAAAGGAGGATGGCTTGCGCGCGTACTCCTGATCGGCGTGGTCGTAAAAAGGCAGCCGCGGAACACGGCCGATTCCCGCACGAAACTTTGCACTTCCCCAAAAAATTACGATATTTTCGCGGCTGTATATCCGTGCGTCCGCCTCAATACGCACGTTATTATCGCTCGCCAGGACGCGCGCCGGCTCTCCTCTCTTCTTGGACTTCACCGCGACTACCATCAGTCGCGTTGCCTTCGCGAGCCCGCGAGAAAAGTCGCGATTATTCCGACGGACGAGCGGGTCGCGTTCGTTCGTCATCCACATGTGCCCATTTCAATTCCGCGCGTCTCCCCTGCCGTGGTACGTTCGCAAAAAAAGTCCTCTCGTCCCTCGTTTCGCGTACGAAACGTACCATAAGATAAAAATTGCTGGTTTCGCGTACGAAACGTACCATATCCGAAGGGTGGTGCTCTTAAAAGTGGCCGGCGGAACTGAAACGAAGGATAATAAGAGGAGTGCTTGCGCGACGCGCGCGTAACTCACGTCTGACTAACAACCGGGTCCCTTCGGGCCCAACGTGCCCAGCCACTCCATCAACGTTAACGTCTCGCTTTCTGGCCCCTCGTGTGTTAGCAATTTTTTTTTAAGAGAAGCACACTCAAAACAAGGGCTGATAAAGACGAGTTGAGATGGAGTCGCGCGCGCGCGATACTCAAAGCAGCGAAATTTCACGATGATCCGAATGGGCCCGGTGTCAGCGGATGGCCTTCGAGGGTTCATCGAGTAGTTGCGTGAAGATGAGTAATTACGAAAGTGAGAGAGAGAGAGAGAGAGAGAGAGAGAGAGAGAGAGAGAAAGAAAGAGACAGAGAGAGAAAATAGCTTTCTTATCGGGATAAGCTGCCTCAGGGGAAGGTAACCCAGGGACTCTAATAAATTATCCGAAATTATCAACCTGAGATTATTCTGTCTGTGTCGCCAGGGCCAGATCGTTTTATTCGTTGTCCAGGCGCGGGGTGTAAGCAGGGCGCTCGAACACTTCAGCTTGCGTGTGTGTACAGGGAAAATCGGAAAATACGTCCACCCCGAGCCCGACGAAATAAGCATGGCTCTGTCCATGACCCTCCTTTATTCCTTCCTTTGTACATTTTTCACACATGTAAAACGACCAGATTATTAAATTAAATTATATTAGCAAGTTAACGTATCTCTCTCTTTCAGAGAGTACCACACCACCATCACCACCATCACGTCTGCCTTCTCCTCTGTAAGATTAAGGTGACAAACGTAAAGTGTCCGATAATAAGTATATTTCCGTGAGAACAGAAGAATTACAATTGCTTCCGCGCGAGTGAAGTCATTCTTTATCTCGTTTATTAATGAAGATTAAAGATCTCTTCTGTGCAAATGATAGCGGAAGTGAGCGATGTTCGATTCCCCAGATAGTAAGGTGATGTCTAAAGATGTCATTAAGACGTCATTAAGATGTCTATGATGTCTTCATGACATCTTAATGACGTCTTTAGACGTCACCTTGCTATCTAGGTCATGATTTTACTGCTAAACATTACAGGGCACTTATGATTTATACAGGTGTATGCTTCAATGAAATTGTCTCGAGATTTTAATTTTTCAGACAAAGCCGTTTTTTTTTCGTTAGACACAGAGGCAAAAGTTTTGTCGGACTCTCTGCTTTGTCAGGCTATTGAAAAATAAAAAGCTCGTCTGACACGTCTACTATTTGAAAACAAAACCTGTGAATGGGTATTACCTGTGAATGCAAGGCTTGATTCATCGTTGAATCGTATCGTATAAGGATCTGTTTTTTATTGCTGAACTAGTATACATTTTCGGAACTTAAAAAGAGATAGATATACAGATAAAATTTGGTGAAAGAAAGATAAGAGAGAACTAGTGCAGCCAGTTTAGCAATAGAAAACAGATCCTAAAATAACCTCATTTCATCGACAAGGTTAGTGGCGACTCGTAGCGGTGATTTTGGAGCAAAAGACCGACGGAGACAAACCGAGACTCAAACCGCATTCACTCATGTAGACGGCGGAAACTTTTCTTTTTTCCGTTTCAAGTTCATGAGAATAATGACGAACGATGAAAGTACGTTAAGAATGTGAAATTTTCTTGAGAAATCTAAATACATAATTGTAAAGCACATATATTTTGTTTCACAATCGATTTCTTTACAATCAATCAAGAAACTTATCGAAAATTGTGGACAACGATATACACTCAGTTGCATTGATGCTATACCATTCACTAGATTGATAATCACTAGAAAATTTCAACCAACCGTGTCCGTTTCTAGCTGATCGTTTTTCATGACTGTTGATTCATCAGGTAATAAAAAAACTAATTTTAAAATAGTGTAATGACATTAGGGAATAGACCTTAATATGTTCCCAAACTAATGATTTTTAGAGCATTCTTTGGATTATTTTAAAAAGGCTTCAAACTTTATCATCCAACTATCATAGAGTGGCACTGGGATATTGTTTCATTAAGCGGTTGGAGCTATATATTGAAAGAAAGAGAAGAAAAAAGTTACTGAAAATTACCTTTCATAGTTTGTTTCAAATTTCACAAACAATACAAAAAAAGTACATATAAATATGTAAACAGGTGTCTTTTACTTCTATTGTTCTGTTTGTACAAAGAGTTCATGAGGTTAAACTTTTGCATTATATCAAATCCTGTGTTAAAATAATATAGATCAGTCAAGATGTAAGTACAGAGTTGACAATCGCTCAAAGGTGTAGCTTCAAGTTGCTAATTTCTAACAATGAGGAAATTGATGTGTGCGACTTAACAGCAGGAGAGAGACATACAGGTAACTCAATTTTCAAAATATTTCCATCCTCCTATTATCGCGAGTAATAATAATATAACAATCACTGAGAGAACTAAAAAACCCAGCTAATTATGTAAAATTGTATAATTGAAAAACGATTCCAGCAGGAAAGGCTTAAAGTCAATTCAAATAAAAGACTTGTAACAGGCACAGTTTAATAATGGAATTTTCTCGAGTTCAAGTTTTAAGAGTGAAACAAGTAATGTGCTTAAAAATTGTTACATTTATTTATCGCTATGTTTCTCCTCCATAAAAGGATATACACTTTCGTCGCATAAACAAATGCATTGACGAAGCTGACTTTATTTCTATTTACACACGCGCTGTCTCATTAGAATACTTCCTTGGGCGCGAACATAGTTTTCCTACATTCCTCGGCAAACGTTATCTCTCTCTGAAACAGAATAAGAACTGTGATTTTGCTGTCTGTCTAATATCTAACCTAACTTAACCTATACGACAGACAATTTTCGCCAACGCGCAAACTATAACCTCAATCTCGACCTCAACGACGGAAAAATTACGAAATCAACGGCAGTATACAAGTTGGATAAATCGACGTTAATGAAGTCAACCGGCTAGCAATACAGATTGTGAATAATCGCGAAGGTTACCTTCAGCTTCTCCGCATCTGGTATCCTGGGGTACGGACCAAACAGATCTCTCGCTCCGTGAAAGTAATCGGTCTGTATGCTTATGTTCAAATATGTCACTGTTATCAAACCTAACACAGAGACTGCATTTCTCATATTATACATTGTGGTACGAGTTAAATATCACGATGCTCTCGAATTATTTTGATCAGACAGACGGGACGTAATTGAGAGCTGACTCTTACGACAAGCCAGCTGTTAGCAAGACGCGATCCTTCCGCCTAAAAATTTCCTAGATACTCAGAGTGCTCGAACATGGATCCTTAGAATTTGTTGAACTTGGAGCCCATTGTTCCGGCCTCTTGGTAAGCTATATTTAAATCATATACCTGTCTTTATGTAATTTGAAGAAGAAACGAACACATAATTTAAGTATTCAGTAGCTTACCAAGAAGTTGGAATTTCTTGGAGAGCGACCATCAGCTTGATTTTAGTGGCCAGAGTTAGGCGCATTTTCGAGACGCCATCTGACAAAGTACGCCTTTACTACATTCGTTAGACGCATTTTCGCGGTGGTAACGATAAAACGCGCCTGGTTCGTGCCCGTTGTATTTCATACAATGATAGTAAGTTAGGAAAAGACAGACGCCCAATTGCTTTATTCTTGTCTCATCACTGATGAGCGGACCGCGCGACGTAGCCCTGACGAAAATTGAAATTGGAGAGTAAATAAAGTGTAAACGAAAAGTAACGGAAGTGTGTTACACAAAACCAGTTTATTGGTTGCATATATGATATGATGATTTAAATATTGCATATTTTAAATATTGCATATTTTACAAATATTGCATATCTTACAAGATATTTTAGATAATATATGACCAATAAACTGGTTTTGTGTAACACAGTATAACGTAGCTGGAAAGCAACTATTGTCATCCAAGAAATGATGCAGAAAAACAATGTACACGTCACGTCATTTTCGAAAATACATCTTTGCAAACGCGAAAATTATATTAAAAAATGGTAAAAAATTGACTCAGAATATGCTCTAGATGCTAACATTAAATAACATGCAGTAACATGATCGACTTACGACCTATTTCTGAGAATCCGAATTTCCTACGACGCTAAGTTGGATCCAACGTTATGAACGCGACTTTGAGATATTGGAAAATAATTTTCAAGATTCTGGGCTGTTACTGAGGGAATAGAGAGGCATTAATACATATTGTCATCCAAGATACAGAACGAAATAAGCACATCATTTTCGAAAATACACTCCTTTCAAGAACGAATGTTCCTATCAGAAAAAGTGCATGTTAACTAAATCTCGAATGTATCGAAGTGAGTGAAGCCTCTTTTCCGCGGCACTAATTGGCCGTCTCGACCGTTTCGATTGTCTCGATCCCGTCGTAGTTGAATTCGTGCCGCTTGCAGCTGTTAGCCGCGGGGACAGATCAGGTTGTGTTGTTTGCGTCATATAAATTTGATATTTATTGTCCCAGTATTGCAAACACAATGTTACATGTATATGTATATAAAATATGTAAATATGTAAATAATAAATAAATTTATATGTTAAATGTTTTCCAGCTTCTAATGGTTTTTTTACTGGAAACATAAATTTCCGTTGCTTACAGTTTCGATATTTCTATTTACGCTTTGTAAGCGCTTCATTTATACTTCCATTACTTTTCGTTTACTTTATTTACTCTCCAATTTCAATTTTCGTCAAGGCTACGTCGCGCGGTCCGCTCATCAGTGGTGAGATAAGAATAGAGCGATTGGGCGTCTGTCCTTTCTTAACTTACTATCATTGTACGAAATACAACTAGGCACGAACCAGGCGCGTTTTATCGTTACCACCGCGAAAATGCGTCTAACGAATGTAGTAAAGGCACACTTTGTCAGATGGCGTCGAAAATGCGCCTAGCTCTGGCTATTGAATCAGCATCGACATACAGTACTGGACGGAACATTGTGCCGAAATCGTATTGACAGACGTAGAAAGAGACAAGACGATGTGTGGGTAGGAACGGTTTATCGAGCAACGGAGCCACGAGGCACTTACAATTCTATTATTTTAATTAATTTTTTTTATAACAGTAAGAATATAGGATATAAGGAAAAGATGAAATATAAAAATGTTTATAGAATAAATAAGAAATTTATAATATATATGTATTACACGTACAACATGTAATCATATGTAGTAACGTATGTTCCCAACTTTTAAGAATACGATACTGTTCCCTTTCTCCTTAAACAAAATTCAACCAATGAACAGAGAGTAGAAAGAGAGATCCGTGTCCACACATCTAGCTTTTTTTTCTAGGTCTCAACACGAAAGATTAAAGAAGTCTTGCCAAATGCTCCGTCCAGTACTATATGTCGATGGAAATCAGGCTGATGGCTGCTCTCATGCTTCTCTCTGATTTAAATATTCAGTAGTTTACCAAGAAGTTGGAACAATCGAATCTTAGCACCGATACTTGACAGTTAAATCATATGTCTGTTTTCCTCTCTAGTCTCTGTCGTTTTGACACAGAAATAGCACGCTTATTGGAATGTTATACCTCACGATGTTTCGTTCGAGAAACCCAATTACATTTGCCATGATATTTTGTTTTACATATGGTATAAACTATTTTTTAATTACTTCAGCATTCAATAGAAATTCTCATCTTAAACATCGTATAAATAAATAAAATAGCGCTCATAGTTATTTTGTTTGAGATTATATTAAACTTATTTTTAGATACTGTACGAGCCATTTTATTGGCCATGAAGCATCTGAAAGATGATCTTTCAATGAAATGTAACATCAGTATATGAAACAGAATACGATCCATTAAACACTCAAATGCTTCGAAGCGCTGTATAGATCAATCGTGATTTTCCTTAAACGCTTCGAAGCGTTTGCAAACCGTAAATAATCACGGGAAATGTTAATTTTGTTTTTAATTCGGGTCAACTCTACCCGGGTGTTTTTGTCTTTAGATAGGAGCTCGTGTATCAATAACAACGTAACGCTGCCGCGTGACCGTTGCGCCTACTTGACTCAGGCGCGCACAGATGGTGACACTGGTACGTGGCGCAACGGTCGGACACGAGAGCGGCGGATCTCAGTCGGTCGTCGAGTGTCGCCGCAGGAGGGCAGTACCGTGTCGTTCGGACTCACTGTGAACGCGTCGCGATTGGCCGACGTCTCCTTCCGCCGACCCCGCCTACCAGGTGCCTGTTCGAAAGTGTGTAGTTGTGTAGTACGTTACGGTGAAACGACGGGCGCTGCTCTCCTCTCTCACCGAGTTCGTGTCCAATCACAGGAAAAATCCGAAATGATACGTGTTCCGCCCGCTAATATGTGACGGCCGAGAGGAAACCTGGAGGAGACGAGCAAGCGTGTCGCGAGCGCGGTGAGGGTAGTTGTTGCTTCACGTCGGCACGGGGTGCTACTTGGGTCGGGTCTCGCAGCGGGGATTGTACACGGTCCGGGGGTGTCGCAGCTGCGAGGTAGTAGTGTGTCGACGAGAGACGTGAGAGGAGCTCGCGGGATATCTGGAAGTGACGACGGAAGCCGCGACGGTAGTGCGAGCGTGACGAGGAACAGAGCAACGTTATATTTCACGACGACGGCGACGACGACGGCGGCGACGGCGGCGACAACGAGAACGCTTTGATGTGCCAAGCTCTCAGTGCGCGTGAGAACGTTCGCCGTCGTCTCGACGGAGATCACGACGTCGTCTCGCCGTCCCGGTATCGCTGACGACATCGCTTCCCGCGTGTGCGCCTCTCCCGTGCGTTACTTTCCGCGCCGCGCTAGTTCCGCATCGTGAGTTCCGGCGGCACAACCGTGTGTCGTCGTCGTTGCCGCAAGTGCCACGGGTCCGGTTGTACGCCACGAAGTTGGCGCCGAGCGGCATAACGCGCGCGCGGTCGTTCGACAGTGAGGCAGTGGACGAAAGACTGCGACAGAGAAAAGATCCGGAAAGGAGTGAGAAGTGCGTTCCGTCGACGTGCCGTTTTACGACGACGGGATCTAGCAGCGGGCGGCCGGACGAGCTTAGCAGAGGACGTCAGCTGTGCTCTGCGCCGAGGGGGACTGTCGCGGGTGCGAGTGGAAGCGAGATAGAGTGTGCGAGCGCGAGAGAGAAGCCGTGCACGGCCGAGAGACAGAGAAATGGCGACGCTGGAGGCAGGTGTCCAGTACGGTTTGCGAAGCAACTTCAACGAAAACAAGAACCTGCTGTTCGTCAAGCTTACCGATTCGGCGCATCGTCAGATCCTGAGCTACGTGAAGAATAGGGTGAGTGATCTTTATTGTGTCTATTGTTTCATCATCTCTTACTAATAGAAAGAGAGGAAGAGGCTAAGATCGTCGGCGTTTGCACGCGCGAGCGAACGAATAAGCCAGAGAGCTTGATGCGTGCTTGCTGCGTGTGTGCTCGCATACATACATTCAAGCGCACGATCACTGCACACACATGTGCACCGCACTGCACACGTGTGCGTTACTTGTCGCCACGGAACGGCGGTATGCGTGTGTGACAGCGCGTATATACGTGTGTCGTAATATCATGCCAAGGAGAGGGAGGGCGAGAGAGAAAGAAAGAGAGACAGATACAGCGAGACACCCGATCGTCGTGTCGCTCGCTCGCTCGCCATATTTCGTGCGAAATTTCGTCGCGACGACGTCTTGCCGTCGCGGCGACGCCTGGGAACGCTTCGACGGGCTCGGCCTTCTTTCTCTTCATCTCTCTCATTCTTCCCTCGTCCCTGTCTTGTCTCTTCTCGAAGCAGTCCGCTCTCCTCGAAGGAGATCGCACACGAGAGAGGGCCACGTTGGCTCTTTTCGACAAACAGCTGCTCTCTCTCTCTCTCTCTCTCTCTCTCTCTTTTTCTTTCCCTTCCCTCTCTTTCTTTTTCTTTTCCCATTCTCGTTCGAAAGACAGAGACAGAGAAAGAACCCGAAGGACTTTTCACAGATACCCTCTCAAGACTGACAAATCTGAAAATTCGATACGCCCTCGTCGGCGAGAGCGCGCGGTCACCCTTTTTGCGACTTTGGTGCGGCGAGCGAGTCGCACGGTGTCGACATGTCTGCCACTTTGACAACGGCAATTACGTAATGCGCGAACGAGAACGAGCCGAGCTGAGCCGAAAAATCGCACTGCGACATATGTAACAACGGCGGGAGAAGGAAAGAGAAGGAGAGAGATGGATGCATGCACGCATGAAATTTTTACTCGGTTTCAACTACAAGTCATCCGCTCTCTTCCGCTCTTTTGCTTCTTGATGTATAATAGTGCGACTTCCTTACGACTTTGAGCACATCCTCAAATACGAAGAACACGAAAACAAATGAATTATCCTCGTCACATCACAGGCAATTTTGCACGAGTCGTACCTTGCCGTACATTTCCGATTTTTCCTTCGTCCTCTTTTTTTATAACGGGTGGTCAGTTATAAATATCGATACTTAACATGTCGTTAATTTAAATTGAGGAAGAGAACACTCTCCGGTCGTTAAGATTCCTCAATCGCTCTAGAAATTATCGTTTTTGCACCGCGATAGGCAATTCAGTTTATGACGACTCATACAATCGACGCCAGAAAGGTTGTCCGGTTTTGTTTAATTTAGAAACCTACTTCTCTCTCTTGTTCAATGGGAGAATTATTTTTCAATTTCCAATAGGAGAACTTTTTATTAAAAAGACATAAGTTTCGAAATTCACCAAAAATCGGACAACTTTTCCGATTTTACACTTAATTCTCGTTAACGTGAAGTGTCCTCATGAGTTTGCTTTTGGCAAAGATGGAGAAATTTCTTTAGAACAAATTTGAAAAATTTCTTGATTGTATGTGTCCTATTGTGCCTTCAAGATTATTGTATATCCTAGGAAGAATGTTTTCCCTACGATATAAACGTATGTTTTTATGTTTTTTTTTTCTTTTTTGTTATCCGCCCTCGTCATTCTCTTCTAACTGTACCATTTTCTATTGTTAAACCAAGTGCGCGGTTTAATGAGCATGAAGCGTTATAAAGCGGTTGCGAATTCTTACATCAGCTGATTCTAACCTCTCGGACGAGATTCGAAAGTGGTGAAGTCGTCGTTGTCAGGAGGGAAAGGGGACCGACAAGGATTAGGGAGGGAGAGGAATGTATAACTTCGTCAAAATATCGCGATTAAAACGCGACTGGGGCGACGTCGGATGACGAAAAAAATGCATACACAGACGCGTATTGCGTGCGCCTACGTCGCTTATCGCGTCAACGCGTCCACTTCTTTTTACCCCTTCTTTTCTCTCTTTCTGCCTTTCTTGTTCTCTCTTTTCATTCTCGCTTTCCCGTTTTATTTCTATTGCGCTCGCGACTTGTAATTCTCCGCCGTCGAATGGCGCTTTTATACGTCGCGACGCGTCGTAAAACCGGAAAACAACCTCGATAAAACAATTTCGCCGTCCGCGCTGGATCGCCGATATTTCCAACCTGTCGAGTTCGTTTCGGATGAGAAAACGACGTTTCATGTGAATTCTACTTAGCGTCATGTTTATCACGACGTTATAAATTAGCTATCGCCGGCTTGATTGCGCGGAAAATCAAGTCTTCGAGAAAGAGTGAGGAGTGGGGAAGGGGGGAGTGGTTTCTCATTCTATGCATATATTTCATTCTATAAGTATGGTTTCATTCTATGCACTTTGAAATCGCACTCGTGCGCTCTCCCATTTAAATAAATGCAATATTAATATTAAAGTTCAACAACTCGGTCGTTTCAGTTTTTTGTGTGACGTAACCGATAGAATCCATTTTTTTTTTAATTTTTTGTAACATGTGACGAATGACATGCGTCCCGTAATGATACGGTAAAACGACTCGTTCGCATTAATCTATTTAATTTGCGAAACAAAAAGCACATGTCCAGTGCTCGTGGGCGAAAAAGACAGACAAAAAAATTCACGTCGCGAAATAAATTATCTTTCAGTCGCGCGTCAATTCGATAAATTCATCGCAACGGCAGTCGAATGCGGATTCGAGTGTGTCATGGCGAAAGAGCGCGTTTTTACCGTTCCAAGATTTTTAAACGTGCTTCGTAGCGAAAGACTTGTAGGACTACGAGGACGTTGAGAACGGGTAAATGTGACGCTCAGGGATCTTTCGTTCCACTCGGACATTCGATGACGGCGAGATATTTAAATAAATAGTAGCGCAGCTCCCCTTGGAAAATAAAGAATGCAGGTAGCATCAATAAACGAGAGGGAGGGAGGCGGAGGGAAATGGGTAGATGGAAAGAGACAAAAGAGAGAAAGCAGGGTTACGCATCAGGTACGCGTACCGCTTAAAAGACGCCGCGAGAGATCCCCGGGGCGCTACCAGAAGCCAGTTTCTCGGCCGGAGCCTCGTAAGAAAAGGGGCGTGTAACGTGGCCCTTCGAAAAGCACAGCTGTTCCTCGAACTCGAATAACGAACTCGCAGAACGGGCTTGTAACGACCGCTCGTATGTTTCACGTGAGAAAATCCGTCTCGTATCCTTTCCGTTTCTCTCCACATTTCTTAATTTCCCGTTGTACCCCGTTCAAACTTGCCGCGGATGTTCATACTCGTTTGCGTGTAATGCTCAACATTCGCCGTAAGATACTTTCGTTCCTTACGACAAGGATCCGCCTGTTGAATGATGATCTAAGATAACGATTCTCCCCGGGGCAAAGTTTGTTTTTTCCTTTAATAACCATATGTGGATTTATCTTCCTTTCGTTGCTATTAGAGCAAAGTTTTAGAGAATTTTAAGAAATGGAATACAAAGCGTGTTTAATTTATCTCTGCTATAAATCAAAAACAAGGTCGAACAGTTTGAGCTAGTCAGAGGGAATTTAACATTTTGCCACGACTCTTTTCCGACCGCGTACCGCTTTCTCTGTCTCTCTGTCTATCTCTCTTTCTCTCTCTTTCTCTCTCTCTTACATATAAATGGACGCAATATTAATATTAAAATTAATATTAAAATTAATATTAAAATTAATATTAATATTAAAGTTGTATAACTTGGTTATTTCGAGTCATTAAATAACGTCCTGCCGCGATAAGATCCGTTGCCCAAATTTTCAAAATTCTCTTTTTTTTTTCTTATATTTCTCTTTTATTTGATTTCGTACTTTATATAGCTTTCACCGAAGCTATTTGTGTCTATTTGGATATGAATTTATGGCACACTGTTCTTTTCTAGCATCCTTTCTATATCGACTATTCCTTATTTTTTTCTTAATCTTTTCCATATCTTTATGTTAGGGCAGTTAAGCCGGAACTAATTCAAAGTTCTCAGGCTTCTCTAAGTTGTAGTCCTCTGTCCTTCACTCGTCTGTCTTTTAACTGAGCGAGCGTCACGTTTGGCTTTTCGCCGGCACGACCGTGACGAAAGAGAAACGACGGCGGCGCGATTGTGCGTGAGATGCAGGACGCCACGCACAATCGGTCACGTTCGTCTCGACTATCGCGGACTATCGTGGAATTGTTTTTGACCTCTCCGTGTGTAAATCCGAGCAACTCGTGAATTTATTACGGAGATATATAGCAGCCGCGCTATATTGGGTGATTTGGGCGCGCGTGCACTCGTCCGGGGGCACGGGGTTCGTTTAAATCTGGGGGAATGTCGATCTCCATTTTTACGCTCTACGTACGAAAATAACTCAATGCTGCGGGACGTAACGCGGCGAATGGAAAGTCGAATGATATTAACACGCGCGCGCGTGATGCATTCCTTCTCGCGGCATAAGGTTCACATCGCAGCGCTCGCATGTTTAAAGGCCTGGCAGTTTAGTAGACAGAGGCAGCGAGAGACAGACAGAGAGAGAGAGAGAGAGAGAGAGAGAGAGAGAGAGAGAGACACGGAGAAAGAGGAAAAAAAGCGTCGCACCTCGTAATCGCGCTATTAAATTGGCGACTCACATATACACTGAACGCCTTCAATTTACGCTCGGTATAGAATAAATTATGCCAGGTGAAAGTGAACGCGCTCCAGAGCTACGCGGAGCCAGGGAGATGTAGCGGGAGAAGGGGAGAGAGAGAGCTTTTCGGAGGGGCAGAGGGAGGAGGGAGAGACGGACACGCGGAGCGAAAAGTAACGCCGATTGTTGAAAACCTTGAAAGTGCGTAAAACGTGGCGGCGAGCCGCTCTGTGGTCTCTCGCGACTCCACTGATTTTCGTTTTTACGCGTGCACACACACGCACACGATTGTGGAAACAGGTGGTGTCGCGTGTCGTCAAAATCTTGTCAATAAATCTACGAATACTCACGACCCGAGAGCACAGG